GGCTGCCCTGACCCCAAACCGTGGCATCTCTTTTGCTTAAATAGCCTTGATGTCATTACCACTTGATTTCTTTTGTGTATTCTCACTCTCTTTCTGTGGACAAGTAGATCTTTCATTCCGTTTAGTATAGGAGGCCAGCTTCACTGGTAGGATGGAATAGGTTTCCAGTCAAGGACTTAATTACAACTGTGTGGGATGAAAAGAACTGGGATTTCAATTCCTCTTTGTTTTATTTCTGGGGACTTCTCCATTCCTTTTATAGGCTACTGTGCAAAAGCTGTAGAATATTATCTATGTTTATGCATTAAACTGCTGTTGTTTTGGGCACTGTAAGTTTAGCTGTGCCTTTACCTATCTCAGGACTGTAACAGTACTTGAGTGCTTGCTTATCTTTCCTGAATGCATGCATAAAAATCTCCTTATGTGCCTGCAACTTAAACATCTACTTACTTTAGGTTTCTCTGGGATTAAGCCAAATTTGAGTCATTCAGAATTGTCCTCTGAAATCTAGGGGACTGAAGTCAGCCTCTATCTCAGCTCAATTCTGTCACCTTAGCACACCTGTCAGTAGCACGCACTTACAGAAAACTGACTGGTAACTACTACTACTGCTGATGCTGCTGTAAAGAGGAATTAGGTCATGAAGCCTCAGGTGGCCTCGTTCCCAGAGGAGCAAGTGAGCTGGTTTGGGAGGAGCTTTTAGAGAGTTCACAGGCTAGGGCAGGACTCAGTGGAGCTGCAGGATGTTCAGCCAGGTTTTGGGAGAGCTCTGGGGAGGGCAGAGAGTGTTCTGAAGATTGCTGCCCTTCAGGAGGACGCAGTGAAGGAGGAGTAAGGATCCCACTGCAGGGATGTCAGCCATGGAGGAGAGTGGTTTCTAAACCACTTTTATTCCTCTGATCTAGTTACTTGGAGAGTCTTCTGTTTGAAAAGGTGAGTGTTCCTATTTTTATTCTATTCAAATTTGGCTTTTTTTAGAGTTTAAAAACCCTTTTGGTCTCTTTAGGGAAAGTCACCCAAGGGAGGAGCTCTATGCAAATCCACCTCATGGCATGGCTGAAGTAGGGCATAAAAACAAAAGGGAAAGGAGATCATACTTCATTTAGAAAAAACAAAATGAACAAAAAAACCCACCCAAAACCAGACAACCCAAAGTTGTTTGGTATTTTTTTTTCTATTATAAGCAAAAGTTAAAAGTTCTCTGAGGCAAATGTAGCCATTACTCTAAAAGCCAAGGTTTCTAAATAAAGCAAAAATCTTGACTCTCTTATTTCACTGATGAATTAGGACCTAGAGGAACTGAAGTGAAAACAAGCTGTGCTCTAGAGTCTGAAATCTTACTGCCCCTGGAAGTTCAACAGCAGCTCCAGCTGAGCTGGGCTGTGTTCTCTTCATGGCTGACCTTCCTGGCTCTGGCTGCTGGGCTGTGTTTCCTTGCTTAGGTGTTAATGCTTTCCCTTCTGCTTGCTTTGGCTCAACAGGTATTACAAAAGCTGGGAAGGGTGGAGTTTGAGCTGTTTGAACTCTCTGGTGCTTGTTACTTTGTTGGGTTCACGTTCCTGACTGCTCCTATTTTCACTGCTATGTGACTATTTCTATGTGACTATTATATGTGGCTATGTGCACATGGCCTTACAGATTGAGTGGGAAAGTTTCTGAGATTCTTAGTATTAATCCTTGTGGAACTGTACTCTGATGTTTCAGTTCACAGAAGGAAAATTCAATGCTTTTGTGTTTGTTTCTTTAATAATATTACATGCAAGTATACATTTACCTAGACAATAAGCCTTTCACAACTTCGTCCACGTCTTTATTGTCTTGTATATATCAGAGAGATTTTTCAGTAGTATAAAACTAAGTTAGAAGTTCCACAGTTGTCCAAAGTTTTAAGGGTTACACTCTTAGAACGGTGGCACCTTGCTGGCCCATTCTAAACCTCTACACCATACCTTAAGCTGAGTCTCTTGTAAAAGTTTTCTGGAAGGGACTATGCAGTTTTTAAAGTCAGTATTTATGAAACTTTTGTTGAACTTGGAATTCCTTCCTCAGAACTAGCTTTTAGCAGGTAAGTGCATTGGTCTGAAAGTGAGGCCTGACAAGGAATAAAAATAGAGTATTATTTTAAAACCACAGTCTTAAATGAATATTAGGCAGCAAAGTTAAAGTCCTTTGCAATCTCCCCTGCATATCCTTTCCTAATAATATCTGTATTGATCCAATCATTTGAACAGTCCTACCTGGTAGAACTTAATTTTAGATTTGCTTTTGGACAGCTCCACAATTACCAAGCAAATATTTTCAGACAGGAATTCCTTTTTTCCTTTTATTTTTCTTTGGGTCTGGCTTGCTTTTTATTTCTCCGCCATCTTACACATTAACTTGACAAATAGTGTTGCTGACAGAGCTGGAAAACATTCCAGAGCATTTTATCATGCTGCTGGTTTTGTCATGGTCTCTTACAGCTCATCTTTGCTTCTTAGCTTTCAGTGCTACACAAATAAAGTGCCTATTTTCATACGAAAAAATATGACTGATTATCCAGGAGACCATTGCCAGCTGCCGAACATAATATATGACATTTTGAAATCATACATTCTTTTAAAGACACTCAACAACCTGCAAAGCATTCTGAGATTCCATGCAGTTCTCTGCCATTTCCAGTTTCATTTTCTCAGATGTCTATTTTATCACAGATTGCATTTGGGTTTGGGGATTTGTTATTTAATCAGGAATAACAGCAAGCTAAACAAGTGCGTTGTACACCATAGAAATTAAATTGGGTAGATTTCACTTCCCAGAAACTCTTCAGTCTTTCAGTGTGATATTGATAAAAGAAGTTTGTTTTTGTGTGTGTTGCAATAAGTACTGTTGTGGTTACCATCTGATATCAAAAAGAACTCGTTTAAGCAACTTCATAAAATGAAGAAAATGCAGATGCAAAATAACTGCCTGAACTGACGACCAGTTGCTCCACTGGAAAAAAAAAATAAATCGCTATTGCATAAATTAATTTCAAATTTATTATTTAGTATTTGTCCTACATTAACATTCATTAAGATTCCATTGAGCTAGCTTGTGTTCAAAAGCACATGAAAATAATGTATATACTTACACAAAAATAATAGTTATAAAATGGAAGCTTAGCACATTTTGTTATTTCAGATTTTTCTGGTGTTATAAACATCGTCATGAAAGTGGGACAAGGGAAGTTTTAAGGAGGAGAAGCAAAAAAAATTTACAACACTGCTTTCTAGGCTTCTAGTTTTAACTGTATGTTTGAGATTGCATTTTTTTTCTCGTGTATTTTCTCTGTATCTACTTATTGTGAACATCCCAAATATCTTGACTAAACTTCATGAATTTAGAACAAGAGACTCTTTCACCAGTAATAATATGATGAAACAGTTATATAGGTATTTCAAGGAGACAGGGAAAACACAAGAATAGTCACAAATTGTTACTCTTACAATGAGATTCCTGTAATAATTTCAGCAGATTAAGGACCTGGCCATTATAGTTTTTTATAATACTTTTAATAAATTATTGCCTTGCAGCAGTGTTTATGAATATTTACAAGGTTGTAATATGAAGTATTGGAAAGACTTTAATGAAAAATGAAGTAGCGAGTATACTTTGGAGTAAACCCCCTTAATTCAGGAGTGTAAGTGTATGTATATCTTTAAATTGCAGAATACATGGAAACAGGAAACGCAAGTATTCCAGAGGAACGCCTGCTGGAACGTGCAGAACATCAGTCTTGCATTTTGTCCCCGGAAGTTCCTCCGTCTCCAAAGGCTAAAAGTAAATACATGTACTCTGTGAATACAGAAGCTGTACTGAACTTCTCTTTAATATTAAAATTTATTTCTAACACATTCAAACGAACATACAAAATGAAAAGGAGAGGTTAAAACAGTTATTGATTGGAGCTTTTTTCCACTGGGAAGTACCAATCTTGACTGCATACAGTGTAATCCATGCCTTATAGGAAAGCAAAGAACTCTATTCTCAGAAAGGACTGATGATGAAAGTCACTGATGGATTACAGTTAATTACCTTATTTGATCTTAAACTTTTAATTTATCTGACCTTGCACATCTCATAATCAAGTGAAACACAAGGATATTAGATATGTCAAAATACTCTGCAGGCATTGTTCACATTCAAGTTAAAGATTGAATTTACTTTATCTTTTCCAGTGAGTGCCTCTTCCAGTTGTGTTACATGGGCTTTGAAAGAGGCATCCAAATTTGTCTACTGCTCTTCCATTAATCTCCTGATGTATCTTTTATACACTGTGACAATCACTGTCGTGTGCGTGTGCTGTCATCTTATATTCTGTTTCACGCTTTCCACACCACGGCCACTTAAATAGGGCATCTCCTGAGCTTGGTGTTGTCCTGCTGTTCCAGGAAAATCATTCTCCTTTAGAAACAAACCTGACCTTCTGTAATCATCCAAAACAAATCTAATTGACTGCTGGCAAATAACTAAGCTTCTCTTCTTTGCTTTTGAGGGGATGGGTATTGGGTTTTGGTTTTGTGGTTTGTTTTTTTCTGTTTGTTTTGCATTTTAGTATTTTTTTTTTTAAAAAAAAAAAAGTTCTACAGAAGAAATTTTCATTCATGAGAAAACTAAGCTTACTCCTCCATTCCACATTATGATCTTCATGGTGAGAGTAAACAAATGCTCTAGTTTCATTCATGTTTCCCATTGGGGCACTTAACAGACATATGGTATATGAAGAAAAATAGGTCCTTTGAGATTAGTAGAACCATTAAGTCAGTTACCTTATGCAACAGAAATGTCTGTCCTGAAATTAGGTAGCAAATATTTTTAAAATATGATTTACTTCTTAATGATAAGGTCATGATCTCACATTCCTTGTTTCGACTTTTGAAGTATAAATACCATAAAATATGCTCACTGGCTTTTGCTTGTTTATTATGTAATCCAATTCTAAAGGAATTAAATTGTATTTGATTGTGCTTTCCATCCTTTTTTCTGCCATTTTGTGGAATCTAATTTCAAATAGTTTATGCCAGATTTGAAAGAGGGATAGCAGTATCAATTACCTTTCTGTGATTTTCGTGAAAATAAGTAGTGAGTTAGAGGAAAGGGGCCTTAAACCCGCACTGAAAGAAATAGGTAAAATTTATCTTCTATGTGTTTGTTCTGGCAGCAAATAGCCAGCCAGTTTGTGTGCACTTATTCAAGTCAGTCAGCACCTTTCAGTTCCAGTTTTGTCACACGGACCTGATTCTTGCCCAGTAGGAAATATTGCAGGCTGTATATGGAGAACGTGGGATTTGGGACATAAACATAATTTTGAAGGAAATGGTAGTCCTGTTTATTTTTAGGGCACTGTATCGTGATTGTATAATAGTGCTTAATGTTTAGGTATTCTACTTCCAATTTTTATTTATTATATTAATCTAGAATAATTGCAATTTTACAATTAAAAAACAGAATATAAATAAACTTGATTATCTCCTAATTCACAGATTTTGTGCAAATTTACCATTGACTAGAGTTTTTTGAGTGCAAGACTTGTTATTTAGATATGAAAAGGCAATTATAAGCTTTTAATTAACAACATCTGGTTTTGGTTCTGAAAATCTCAGTCATAACTGGCATAATTAAAAAAAAAATATTTTAGAATATATGAGTTTGTCTGGGATAACAAACAGTGACTATGAAGAAAAAATAAATTAAAAAAAAAAAAAGTCTAGAAGAAGCTGATACTACTTTGTCCTGGGCTCATTTAGTTACAGGAATGTACATATATGTGTTGTATGTATGCTGAGCATGATATGTTTACTCCATTGTTCTTTGTCAGCATTTTATTCCCAAAGATGGAGTAAAATGGCATTATCTCTGTATTTTATTAAGTCTAAGGACTGTAGTTTCCAACAATATGACTCTTGCAAACCTATGCCCCTGAAAAAAATTGGATTTCACTCATATTTTCCTTGCTGTTAATGAAGGTAGCTGTGTGACACATACACAATAGATTATCAGAATCTAATGCAATTGTTCATAAAAAGTAACTTTTTACTCTCTGGAAGCCCTGCTGCTGCCAGTGGGCTGTTAGCACTCTGTGTGATTCTGATACTTATTACTACCACTATTTTCAATAGTGGCCTTCAGCTAGTATAGGCATGTAAAGCCCATTGTGTTATCGTTCTATCAAATTTCTTAACTGCACATATCTGATAAATTAAGGAGAAAACATGAAACAATGAAGAATGCACTAAACATAGGTTTCTAGTAGATGGCTGTAGAGGGCAATGTTTTAAGCTTGTGGGTTTTGTCCAGTATATCTTTCCACCAGTGAAAGTGAGTGAGAATTGTTTATGAATTTATTTATATATTTATTATTTAAAAATCTCAGAAACCCAGTTCCACACTACTTAGATTTTGTGGAACCTGTGTAGTGTATTAACTGATCACAGGAGTAAGCATGGACCTGACGCACAGTACAGGACATTGAGTTTGCACATTTGTAGAAACTTTCAGTTTCTGAATTAATTTTATGTTCTTGGGTAGTTGCTATTTCTAGCCAATTTCCAGGATTAGAACACAGAAAAAGACATATTTTAGTACATATTTTAATTCACCCTAATTAAATGCAAAGTATAGGGGAATGTAAAAGTCTGTAAATTACCTACAAGAATTCCCATTCTGAAGTGAGATGCTGTTATTTCTGAGGGGAAAATTGTGCATGAAGATCACTGTTCAGATGCTAAGGCATGGAATATAGTAAATATTCAATAAAATTTAAAGAATTTTCATTTCCTTTTTAGGCATAAATTACCCCTGGTATTCTAATTATTGACTAATGACGTGTCTGTTTTCAAAGGTGAAGCTGTGACTGGAGAATTATCAAAGCTCTTAGATGAAATCAAATTGTGCCAAGAAAAGGAGTATTCTTTTGAAGATCTGTCTCATACAATATCAGACCATTTTCTGGACAATTTTAGTAAAGTATCAGAGGAAGAACTTATGACCGGTGGAAGCCAAACCAAGCTTAATGTAGTAAGTAAGATGGGATACAAAGACAATATATTCAGTTATATCTGCTTTATTTATGGCACATTCAAGAAAGAAATAGTACAAGAGTGAGAATAGTACAAGTTTAACTTTATAATAGAAAAAAAATACAACTTGTAGTCCTTAGAGATTAAGAATTTAATGTTTGCATTGCTTTACAAAGATATTGCTTACTGCACCTCAGAATGACTTTTTATGGCACCACTAGTATGACCAAAAGTTCAGGCTAGTTGTTCTTTTGAGCATAGGAAGTGCAAGGAAGGAAACTTTTTTTTGTTTTAGAAATGGTTGCAGAATCTGATCAGAATTGCCCCCCATCCTCAGTTGTGACTCTGATACATTTTATTACTTTATAGCCTAATGGTATTAAAGACTGAGAGTCTCTAAGACTGAAAATTGTTATGGTTGTGATACTTGAGTGATTTCCAGCTACAGTTGAAAATATTACTTCATTACTACTAATCCTGTGAATAAAGTGTACTAGGATTCATTTTTTTCTTTATACTCTAAAAAGGCTTTGTTTTTTTTTTTTGACTTCTTTTCCTCAATAATTAAAGCAAATGGGATTGCCCAAGCAATAAAACACAGAACAAAGCGAAAATGCTAAGTGCTAAATTTGAAATAATTTTGTTCATAAGTCAAGAAACATTATGTGGGGAAAGCCGTGGCAAATTAAGGACTTTTATATTATAATGGGTTTGTTACAGTACATGTAGACAGAATGAGATTTACAAAGATGGTTATCTGCCCTAAAATGCAGTAGATAGTTTTGTAAAGCCCTTCTAGATGTTTGAAAGATTAGATACATAACCCATACTGAAGTCAGTCTGAAGGAGGTGCTCATCCCATTTAGGCATTTTTATGCATCTTTCTAATGTGTCTCTGTATTTAGGTGCTAACTGATATTTAAATCTGTTCAGCTGCTGTTTTATAGAAAATGTATTCCACATAATTCTGCCTACTGAGACTGAACTTTTTAGAGACCTAAATGAAATACACTGTGAATAGGAAGTATTCACACAAAAAAAACAGTAATTTATGTGCAGCAGAAAAATACAAAAGTAAATTAGGCAATACATTTTTTTTTTTTCTTTTAGGATTTCATCTATTTGTATATTGATCTAGATGTGAGAACTAATCCTCAAAAATGGGGATTCTTCAGTGCATTTTGTGGCTCTCTTCTTCTAGTGCACTCAGCTTTTTGTCCGAAGAAGACTAGAATCAGGATGACGGGTACACACTCCCAACATGAAGTCAGAGGGCAGAGCACACTTTCCCCTAGTGTAAACCCAACTATACAGGTCTATATGGAGAGAAGTCCTTGTTGTGATGTGGGATTTTCCTATTTGATCTAAAACTTCCATTTCATTTTTTAAAGTATGTTAATGTCACTCAATCTGTTCTGTTGCTACCTGGATGACTTGCATAAAAAGAAAAAAAAATAAAAAAAGGATAAGTTGAGCCCAGTTTTAACATTCTGCCTTTTAGTTTAGGGGAAGTGCTGCCTTCCCTTAGTGTGCAGACTATGTATGGTGCAGAGGTGATATGAAAACCTACAGGTGCTTATAAGGAACCATCGAAGAGTAAACAGGAAGAAGCACTAAAATGAAGAGAGATGTTTAGCAGAAGTGAACACTGCCGAACCACTCTGAAGGCAGGACCAGCAAGCAAGTGGTGAAACAAGTGTGACAGTAGGGTGATGACTGAAGAAACTTAATATTTATGTATAATAACACAGAGATAGTGAAAGAGAGTAGCAGAGACATATACATGTATATATATGGAGCATCAGAAATAGGTTCCTTGAATATGTATTAAAGAGGAAAAAGATTCTTACAAGTTTTTTGACTTCAGTTTTCTGATAGAATGCTTAGAATGCTTAGAATTGGAAGGGACCTCATAAGGCCATCTAGTACATCCACTCTACAGTGAGCAGGGACATCCACAACTAGATCAGGTTGCTTAGAGCCCAATCAAGCCCAACCTTCAATGTCTTCAATGCCCCAGAGGTGAGGCCTCTGTGATCTCTCTGGGTGGCCTGTTCAGTGTTCCACAACCCTCATAGTAAAGAACTTCCTCCTACTGTCTAATCTAAATCTACCCTGCTCAAGTTAGACCATTGTCCCTTGTCCTGTCACTACATGCCCTTGTAAACAATCCTTCCCCATCCTTCCTGTAGGCCCCCTTTGGGTACTAGAAGGCCACCATAAGGTCTCCCTGGAGCCTTCTCTTCTCCAGGCTGAACAACGCCAGCTTGCTCAGCTTGTCCTCATAGGAGAGGTGCTCTAGCCCTCTGAACAGTTTTGTGGCCCTCCTCTGGACCCTTTCTAACAAGTCTATGCCTTTGCTGTGCTGAGGAGTTCAGAGATGGACATAGTACTCCAGGTGAGGTCTCAGCAGACCTGAGTAGAGGGGCAGAATCGCCTCTGGATCTACTGGCCATGCCAGCTTCCTCCCTGGGAAGCTTCTGTAAAAATCTCAGTAGGGTAAGTGGGGTCTTCTTTGTTACCTGCATTCATTAAACTCGCATTCATTGCTGCTGCACTTGGCAAGAATCTGTGGAAGCTGGGGCAGCACAGGAGTGTGGTAACACTGGAGCATGACGTTTCTTTCTTTCCGTTTCTTTCTTTCCGTTTCTTTCTTTCCGTTTCTTTCTTTCCGTTTCTTTCTTTCCGTTTCTTTCTTTCCGTTTCTTTCTTTCCGTTTCTTTCTTTCCGTTTCTTTCTTTCCGTTTCTTTCTTTCCGTTTCTGTCTGCCTTCAGGATTGAGTGTTGTCTTTCTTTGTTACCAGCTCTAGTACAAGGCTGAGAACTGCACCTGGCATGACTCTGCAAGCAAGCAGTTACTTCAGGTTCAAATCAGCAGTTTTCTCCCTAACTTTCAGTGCTGACTGCGCCAGTGTTGGCTCTGAAGAGGTATAGAAGTCGAGTCCCTGTTGGTAATGTGTCAGATGGTGCTATTTCTTGGACAAATGTTGGTTCCAGAGACAATGACTTGTGCTGGCCTTTCAACTTCTCCTGTAGTCAAGTCATCTAAATGGGTTCCAAAACCCAAGTCATGACATTTCACAACCCTTGGGGAGATTCTGCAAAGGAACTGGGTGCTAGGAGACATATGCTTTTTTTTTTTCTTTTGTGTGTGTGCGTGCGTTATGCTGTTGTTCGGAGAAATAGGAGACCAAGACTGGGAAATTCCTGTTTGGAATGGTAGCTTGCTGGTCAAAATCTTAATAAGTTGGAGCAAGGAGCACCAGGAGCCATATCCCAGGGAAACATGGGCATGTGAAAGAGAAAGCATCCGGAAGCTGAGTGTCCTTCAGCACCTGTGGCACTGCGCTGGCTAAATAATGTTTAGATTGATTCAGGACTGCAAAAATGAGCATCTATCTGTCTACAGCCTGGAATTCTTTCCTGAATCTAAGTGCCAGCCTCTTTATTTTAAAGATTAGGGTGGCTAACTGTTTTTATTTTGTGTAAGGGTAGTGGGGATGCTTGCTTTTAAATGTGGTGACTTGACAGTAAAAGGCTTCATCTGGAAAGTGGAAGAGTGGAGTTCAGTTCCCTCTATGACATAAGGATGGGTTTTAACATCACTTTTATAGACTCTCAAATAAAAGGACTGAGCATCAGCCTGTTGATCTGCTCCAGTATTTTTTGGATTTTGCAGTCACTGGAGAGATACTAGTGCAATCCTGAGAGCAGGACTTCGGACTCCCTATTCACTAGCCGTTTCTGTTCGCTTCCGGCCTCCGATGTCTTACATTGTTTGTTGTTCAATGATACACTCATAGAATACTACATTTTCTTTTGAAGAAGTTGTGTGTTGGAACTCTCTTAGATCAAGGACAGAGTTTCTTCCATTTGCCTGGTTATTGGACAGTTAGTCATCCAGCCACATAGCAAGTCATTCTGGTATGTTTGGACTAAGGAACTTCCTTCTTTTCTTCAAATCTTGCATTGAAAACACTATACATTTTATTACTTAATATTTCTGTTGACCCAGTGTGTGATGTATGACATAAGGCATTAAAAACCCAAGAGTTTATGTGCTTACAGCATCTTGAATAGGAAGCAGCATTTGCACAACTCTGAGGTTAGGTGAAACTGGGGGGGGGAAAAAAAAGAGCTTTCTGGATGAAAATTTTGGGTTAAGTCACCTTAATTCCATATTATTAGTTGAAGTTGACTTTTAAGTTGACATTGAAGTTGACTTTTAAGTTTCCTCAGGACATGGAAGAGATAAATAGGAAAAGTGAAGGTCAGGATCTTGAGGACTGGAAAGCATGAACATCTTGGGGGGTGGGGGTGTTATGATGGAGCAATAAGTAAAAGTAATGAGAATAAGAACAGACAACACGGTGTAGATGTGAATAGGATCAGATCTGGAAAGAAGTAAAAATGTACCCATAGGACACTTCCATTCCAGAAGCTGATGGAAAATTTTGGGATTCTGGAAAATCAGACTTTCTTTGTTTCCTGAATGAGGAGAGCAGTTAATGAAGAGGGTGAAAACTGTGAATGCTTGTTTGTTGAATAACAGAAAGCCAGATGAGAATAACTGAATGTTACCTTTTATTTGAAGAGTGTGTTATAAAGAATAAACTGAAGAAAGTCAATTTAAAGCTACACTGGAAACTTTATCATTTCAGTGTTTGATTTTGCAACTCTGTTTCAATGTACTTCTGATGTGCTGTCCTGTGAAGTAGTAATTCCATGTGCCCTAGTCTATCTTCACCTGTTATTAAAACATGTAGCATGTAGAGGTAGCAGACAACACCCTGTTCATTGTCTCCACGAAAGAAAGGACAGATTAAACGTAATTTTGCAATTGGAACTGTGGGTTATTGTGCTACTTCAGAGAGCTCCAAAAAGGCATTTATAAATCTAGGCATCATTTTAGGTGGAATTGCCCATTGTGCTGAAGGGCTTGTACACTCTGTGGGACTGGTGATGGATTCATAGATTTTTTTTTATTTTTTTTTTTTTATTCCCAGTTCCTATCTGCCTTTTTTCCCCCTATATTTTAGTCATTGTGACATACATATGACATTTGGTCGTGTGTGTAAAGACATG